CCCTAAGCCCTAAGCCCTAAACGCAAAAGCAGCAGCTTGGAAGCTTACCAGGCCTCAGCCTGCTGAAAAGTAGTACGGTTTAGGGCTTAGGGTTTAGGGTTTAGGGTTTTGGGTTTTGGGTTTTGGGTTTTGGGTTTAGGGTTTAGGGGTTAGGGTTTAGGGTTTACGGTTTAGGGCTTAGTCTCTCCATTTGTAAGGGGTTCCTTTAAGGGTTCCTTTAAAGGGTTCTATGGGGTTTGGGTTTAGGGTTTAGGGTTTAGGGTTCATGGGTAGTTATAAGTATGGATATAAGTCCCCTGATATGGGTTATAATTATAGTTACCTTACTTCTAACCCCACTTATAAGTACCCGGCTGAAAAGTAGTACGGTTTAGGGCTTAGTATCTCCATTTGTAAGGGGTTCCTTTAAGGGTTCCTTTAAAAGGGTTCTATGGGGTTTAGGGTTTAGTATCTCAATTTGTAAGGGGTTCCTTTAAGGGTTTCTTTAAAGGGTTCTAGGGGGTTTAGGGTTTAGGGTCTAGGGTTTGGAGGTTCATGGGTAGGTATAAGTGGGGTTATAAGCAGGGTTACTATAGCTATAACCCATATTAGGGGACTTATAACCCCACGTATAACTACCCATGAACCTCCAAGTATCTCCATTTCTTGCCGTGCCTTGGTGGTTGTTGGTTGTTTGCGGTATGGGCCATCTTAGAATTCGAGTGTAGGGGTTAGTATATCCGATTGCCCCCACAGGATCCCAGGAAGATAGACCCTGACCCCCGTCTTTCAGGAACCCAAAATACGAGGATCCGACCCAAACCTAGATGTATGCAGCTGCTATAAACCAAGAAAGCTCTCGAGTCCATCTTCCTGGATTGAGGTCGAGTTCACCCGGACGGTTCAGCGCATGGACCGGAAATGCGATCAGGACCTCTTGCTCTGCTAGGAACACAAAGCTGCAAAAGTTTGTAACAGAAGGCTGGATAATTTTCGATACTATTCCTTACATACGAATCCCAACATATAAGAAGCCTCAAACAGAACCCTGAACTATAGAACCCCCGAATAGAGACAGGAGAAGAGCATTGCCTTCCCACGGCTGATCCTGGATGGCTACGCTCCTTTCTTCGGCGTTCTGAGGCCCAGAGATGTGAGGTTTAGGATTTAGGGTTTAGGGTTTAGGATTTGGGGTCCTTTGAGGGTTGGGAACCCTGAACACTACTTGGAGGTTCATGGGTAGTTATGAATGGGGTTATAAGTAGGGTAGCTATAATTATAACCCATATTAGGGGACTTGTAACCATACTAATAACTACCCATGAACCTCCAAGTAGACCCTTGGGTTCAGGATGTGGGGTCTGATAAATTAGGGCTTAGGGTTGAGGGTTAAGATAGAACTTAGATGTTGGGTGGCTGTTGCCCCTTTGCGCGCGCCCCACCCCAACACATATCAAGGGATGCTTTTTCAGTTGCGCAAGGTGTATTCCTTAATTGACCAAGATTAGGTCCAGAGACCTTCCAGTAGAAGTGATGTGATTGCCACGATCTACGATCTGGCGCAGCATCCGTAGGGAGGGAGGGAGGGAGGGAGGGAGGGAGGGAGGGAGGGAGGGAGGGATTTTTGTTCTGCCCTTCAGACTGTTCCGCCATTCGTGACATGATTACTTGTGCCATGAATCTGCGGCTCGCACCTAACATCAGGATCTAAACAGTTAGTTTGCTGGGGTCCCTTTATAGCTATACTCTTACGATATTCTAAAAAAATCATTCTGATTACAGCCCGTGTATTACTTCTCCCTGGCCCCTGTATTACTTTCGAAGGTCCTACCAGGACGCTCCCTCCCAAAAAGGAAGTTCTTCGACGAATGCTGGACGAAGCTTGGGCCAGATGGCCTGTCAGATCTCACCCCGAGGCCGGCGACTTCGGTTCCAGAGAGGAGGTTTAGGGTTTAGGGTTTAGGGTTCTAAGGCAGGGTGGTTGCCGCAGTGTTTATCAAGTTTGCCCTAAACCCTAAACCACTTCAAATCTTTTCTACAGTCTCTTTTAGTCTCATATTGCACCTCGCCGTGAGTACAATCCTCATTCATGCGAGAGGGAAAAAACCCTAAACCCTAAACCCTAAAACCCTATCCTCACCGTATATTGAAAGGACATCAGCTGCAGCCCGAAGGGCAGCCGAGTTTAAAACGACACCCCCACCCCCCGGATGCTTTGCAGGCTGGCGCACGCCTTCGCACATGCCTTCGATTTGCAGGACCCTCCAGCGATGTTGGAGTTTTTGAAAGCGGAGACTAATGTAGACCCTTAATATTAGGGTCTTTAAGATGAGGAACACGCACGCAGGTACACCCAAAAATCGCAAACCTCCATATCTGCAGAACTTGTTGTGAACGCCGACTGGAGCCCACTCAAGGGATATGTTTCGGTGAGGGTCGGGCATACGACGGCGTTTACGTAAAGATTCCAGTGAACATCGATCAGATCAGGTGTCCGAGTGCAGAACTGCACGTGTATGAGCCGTTGCTTGCAGATGGGGGCAACGCATTAGTCTTACCGTCGCTAACCTGTGCAGTTTTCGATGTTTGGGAGTAACGGTTTGTTTGTGCCCCCGTTCGACGTAGGACCCCATGGAGACTCTGTCAAGGTTCTACAAGGCGGGGCGGGATTTTGTTTCTAAGGTTTCGGTTTAGGGTCTTAAAGGCTCAGGGCGTAAGGTCTTTGGGATTCAGGGTTTGGTGGTCTAGGGTTTGGGTTCGAGGGTGCATGGTGTACTGGATCACTCGACCCGTGCCTTATTGTTTGGGGATTGTCTGATTGAAACAAATTGCTCCACTCGCCTACGCCACTAGTCCTGCAAGTGCTGCCGACTTACATGGCCGAGGGATTCAAGTTTGCCAGTCGTGTGAACACGGCCTTGAATGTGGGACTGCCTCACAACTTAGAATTTTACGTATTTCAGAAACAACACTTAGACTCCCCTCATGCTACCCTTATGGCAGAGCTATGCTTCCAGCGGGCCCTCAGCATGGGAAGCTTTGCTCTTGGTGCAGGTGACACTGGCCGCCACCGGCTCCATCACGCGGCTCCATGCTACTCGGCCTCGTTCCTGTTCCCATCCCCCCTAAACCCTAAACCCTAAACCCTAAACCCTAAACCCTTACTCTTGCCAAAGGGGCCCATGCGGGGGACCGTAATCTGAAGAACTAGAGGACTCTCTCTCTCTCTCGGTTTCTCTCGGTCTACCCTTCTCTTCCCCAGGTAGAGAATGCTGGTGCCCATCTCTGGTTCAACCAGATCGAAGGAAGACGAGTGCTACTTGGTCCAAGCCTGGCCATCTTTGGCAGAGAGCGCAACCTCTTGGTTCAGATCAGGCTTTTTTGAATGCATGGGACTGCATACAAGTGTTGCAGGCCCCAAGCACGATTGCCAGCCACTCCGAAGACAGAACGACACGCCCAAGAAATGTGGAAATTTCAATTGGATGTCGTTTGAAACTTCCCAGATGCCATCTAAGGTTCTTTTTGTTTCCTCCATCCGAGTCCCGAAAGCTCTACGAAGAGACAGGAGGGCCGATGCAGGCCGGGTGGCAAGTCCTGGCTTCGCAACCTCCAGCGGCCCTGACGTCTTATTTTAGTGCCATTCTGATCCATCCCTCAAGGTAGGTTTAGGGGGCAAACCTTGTGGCAATCCGTAAAGCTCATAGTGCCAGAGTCCTTTTATAGCTTTCTGAATGTCTAGCCTCAACTCTGAACTTTAGGGAGTTGGCCATAGTTCTAAGAATAGAATTCCCAGTGCGTGCAGGAGGGAGTTTCCGAAATCAGGGGTACCTTCTTTTGCTGTCCTTTTAATAAGGATCCTACTATTTGGGGTACTATACTAGGGTCCCCTATTTTCTGAAACCCCCAGGAGACGAGTGGCTTTGCCACGCGCATCAGCGGGGCAGCTTGGCTGCGTTCGGAGCAGTGCCCGGTGCAGGGTAGAGGTCCCCGATGCCTCATGATGGTAGCTCGCTTTGGTCTGATATCAACTTCAACCCTAAACCCTAAAACCCCCATGACTTCGACTTCCAGGCTTTATGGCAGCTCACAGACTACAGCCGTCCGTGTTGTAGGAATATAGTAGCACAACATTCGCCTTCGAAGTAGCCCGAGTTCTTGAGGTTGGAAATTACGAATAGTGATAGCAGTGCAAATACGAAGAATGACAAGAGCAAGAATTGGAGCAATCGGTTTTACGATAGTAGCAGTTACAACTCCAGCAGCCAGAAATGAGGGATCAAGCATAATTGTCCTCTGGCGAAAGAAAAGTATGACTGTGGACCGACCGTCTATGAGGTGGACTTGTTCGCGCCCAGCGCCAAGCGCCATCCGCTCTTTGCCGAGGCGAGCTGTCAGGCCGCCCGGTCTGTGGCATTGTGGGAGGTGCTGGAACTGCTTGAAGTCTACAACACGTACACTTGTCGGTTCCTGACGCGGGCTTCGAGGTTTCGATACTACAAATCCCTAACCCTTTACTGCAGGATCCGCAAAAGCCAGTAATACTCTTCCTCAAGGCTACCTACTATTGTAGTTGCACTACACAAAACCGACTATACCCCAAAACCCAATCGAAATATTCATGGCCCCTGCATGACCCAGCCCATGTCGAGGTCGCTGTGCTTTACCTCGGCCAGACTCTTGCTTCTTATCTGCGTGGCTTTGGAGCTCCTGCATTCGGTTCTATCCATATCATAAAATGTAGCTAGTACATCTTATGTTACATGATAATTGTATAAGAAATGGTATAAATTGTATGAGAAATAATACAAACTGTATGAGAAATAATATAAACTGTATGAGAAATCATATAAACTGTATGAGAAATCATATACATTGTATGACAAAAATATACGTTACAATAAAATAAAAGGCCAGCCTCACAGTAATGCTGCCCATTGGCCCATGCGGCCTTCGCCGCCGTGGCACCTGAAACCTGGATAGCATGTAACGGACTCGCAAGTGCTTTTACGCCTTGGGCACTACAGTTAACTCCTAAACACTAAACCCAAAGCCCTCATAGACCCTAAGCCCTAAACCCTCATTCCTAAACCCTAAACCCTGCTTATTTAGGACCCCTAAACCCGTACTTTGGACTCAGTTGGGCTGCAGCCGAGAAGCGGAGCCTTTCGAGACATCCTGTGATGTCGGGTCATGGTCCTAGGGGCTGCGTAGGTAACCTTTAACCTTTTGGGGCTTATATAATCCTGCTGTAATTCAAAAGGTTAACCTTTTTCGGCCAGGGTGCTCAGCCCCTAAGCTTCATCAACCAGAGCTGGAACGATCTGCGGTAGCGTTGGCAAGAGTATCCGAGAATCAAAGGACTTTAGGAGGGACCCCTAATAGGGACCCTTGATCACATTACCTTAAATTTCCATTGTATCGTCCTTATATACCCCTTATATAGGCAAGAGAATCCGAGAAGGTCGGAGCGCGCAGCGATCTTCACTTGGCTGTCCGACGTCTTGTTTAGTCCTAGATAGGCGGGCAAAGCTTTCGAATGACAGAGGCTGCTCTTCAACACAGCCCGCAGGTGCGATTCCACAACAGTTGGCGGTTCTGCGACCATTTTGGCCAGTGCCCGTATTCTCCATTGCAGTATCGGGCCACGCAGGTGTAGGGCCAGGTATAGCATCGAATGCTGTGAGCACAGGGCCAACTAAGCGCCTGTTTATCAGCCCCCCGGCAGAACTAACCCCTAAACCTTAAACGACCCTACTTGGAGGTTCATGGGTAGTTATAATTGGAGTTATAAGTCCCCTAACCTGGGTTATAATTAGAGTTACCCTGCTTAGAACCCTACTTATAACTACCCATGAACCTCCAAACCCTAGACCCTAAACCCTAAACCCCCTAGAACCCTTTAAAGGAACCCTTAAAGGAACTTATAACTACCCATGAACCTCCAAGTAAGCACTGGGATCCTCTTCTGGCTTGTCCGAGTTGTGAGAGTGTAAACGACCCTACTTGGAGGGTCGGGGGACTTAGTAAATGGCTATTTTATAGACTTATAAGTAGTATAACCCCAATTAGGGTCCTTTTTAGGGTGCTTATAAGTCTACTTATTACCTGCTTACTAAGTCTCCCGACCCTCCAAGTAAGCCCGAGTTTAGAATAAATCCCAGCTCCGAATGAGTGAGCGGCCGGTCAGGTTATCCCCTCGGGATGGTGGTGGTACTCTGTCACCCTGGACCCATCCGTCACGCTCCGCGTCTGAACTTGTTAAGTTGTGCCTCAAGATTCAGGGAACAAGAAAGTTAGCGCTGACTATTGCCATTGAAAGCCGAAACGTCTTAAAACTCCAATGTGGAAATCCCTGAAACCACGTGAGTTTCAGGGTCGCCCAAAAACATAAAAATAGATTACAAATCTGGATCGGAGGTGAGACTTTGGGTCCAAACTGTCGGAAGGAGCTGGCTCTGTGTGCGTTGAAGGCCTCCAGGGTCTTCCTGAAAGAGACGAGCTCAGAACCCAGAACCCCCGGGAGGATCTAAAAAGTAGAACCCTTAATTTGGGACCCTATACTACTAATGGCTCTTTATGGGAACCCCCATTAAGGGATCTACTCTTTGGATCCTCCCGGGGGTCTGGGAAGGTCCGTGGGTCGCCGAAACATCTTTGTCTAGGACATTTTCAGGTGGGTAGTTACCGTTATAGGAGCTTTATAGACGGTCTATATACCTTTTGGGAGCCTTATAGAATCCCTTTTTACCCTAAACTCTAAACTCCCCACCTGTAGTTTCCTTTAACTTTGAACCCTAAACCCTAAACCCTAAACCCTAAACCTAAACCCTAAACCCTAAACCCTAAACCCACTGCTGGCTTTCAGAAGAGCCTCCCAAGTCTGAAGAGTGCGAAATCACGCCCAGCTGCTCCGGGCTGCTAGGGCCCTAAAGTTGAGGGTTTAGGGTCCAGGGAGCCCGACCATAATGTAGGGCAACGTAGGGTCGGAATAACCAGGAATCATGTCAATTTATAGTCCCTCCAAAATCTTGAGCGCAGCTCCGAGGCTTTGGCATCAGTTCTGGACCGACGAGAACAAGAGCCAGTTCCCTGAAATTGCTTGGGAGTACTTCAACTACCAGCTTCGTGGCTCTCGAAAAGCTATGTCACCGAGTCGTAGGGAAACAGCCTGATCAAGCATGAACCAACTCAACCCCAAACGAAACTCAAGCCGCAGGATGTCAGGTTCCCAACCCTAAACCCTAAACCCTAAACCCTAAACCCTAAACCCTAAACCCTAAACCCAAAACCGTAATGGGAATGCCTCATCAGTACTAGATCCTCTCGTCGGTCCAGGCCCCCATATTGCCGTGGGGGCCGCAACAACTCCTAATAGCCATTCTCTATCGAAACAATAAAACACCCCAGACCCTGTTGAAGACATCCTGTCTGGATAGATAGATAGATAGATAGATAGATAGGTTGCAGGAGTTATTTGTTTACGTTTGTTTGTTGGTTTATTGTAGTAACGAACAGCCATATAATGCATACTCAGGAAGATGACCCCGGAGTTCTGGGCTGCGCTGCCTCGGAAGATCGATCGTCTTCGGGCAACTCGGGGGCAGAAAGCCGTAAGAGACCCTAAACCCTAAACCCCAAATCCTAAAACCCTAAACCCTAAACCCTTTAGGGAAATAGGGACCCTTGAACTGTGAGGAGGCCCGTAAAGAACGGCTAGAAGGGTGTTGGATTTGAGGGTTTAGGGTGCTTGCAGTTGTGCATCTTGTTTCTGCCCTGTTTGAGTCGCTGCAGACCAGATGCAAAAGGGTTGAGAGTTTGGGTTTCGTCAAGTATTCAGGGTTCTTCTGAAGGGCTTCGTAGAAGGGCTACTATTCTTATGATGTGCTGGCCCTATACTAAAATGAGATAGGGAGTATCGGTGGACTTAGTGAGCAGGCTACAAGTGGGGTTATAATTCTAGCATTGAAAAGAATACTTACAGAAAGCCGATTCAAACTGTGAAAGCCCCTCGGTTCTGAGGCGCCACGTCCTCCCGGAAAGCGTAGGATTCAGGTTCCCTACTTGAGGGTTTGGGGGTCTCGGCAGCGATTCGGATGAGCCGGTGTAATTCAGGGGAGGCGCCGTTTGTGTTTCGGGATTTTGGCGCTGGGCCTTGCTTTCGTCAGTCCTTACGTACTGTCGCAACCCTGGCCTGGCAGAGAAACGAAAGACTCCATTGCACCCAGGGAAGTAAAATGATATTGTTGCTTCAGATAAGTATAGCAGCTAGGCATACGTCTTTATGCTTCTGTACTGGTGTCCAATTGAACTTCCTGGCATTTAGGGACAGGGAAAATCCGGTACACTGGCAGCAACGGCTTATCTCTTGGTGCAAACTTTGGCCCCCCCGTTGTCAGCTGAGGAGAAGCTCGCAGAAGAGGAGTAGAATGTGACAGCGAGTGTTCCTCGCAACTGCCAAAGTGCTCCATCTGCAAGGACCATATTCGAAGTTGAGCACTTCTCAATTGGGTGGGCCGACACCGGCATAATTGGCGCTTGCACGGGCATAGCCGGCAGAGCTCTATGTCACAAGCCAACTGTTTAACTCTTTGAGCCCAGCTTGAACTCCCAGATTGTCCATTATGATCTTGGTCCCAACATCCGTGCGGCAAGCCGTAACATGAAGCATCTACACTGGAACTGAATTCAAGCATTGGGCACAGAGCCTCCTGCGCTTGGATGGAGACGAAGGCTTCCAACCCGTCACAGCAGCGGCATGTGAAAAAAGTGCCGTCGACGAACCAACATCTCGAAGGTCGAGCTTTGATGCGCACAGGCTCCGATACAGGCAGCTAGCGCCTGATCTAAACAATCAGGGCTGGCGCCGATCTGACCTTGAGCCAACGATGACAAGCCACTCCTACCAACGCACGTACTGACAGCCTGAGAGCACCCGACATCGCCAGGTATCGAGCTTCGGTGATGGCCCTTTCATCTGCTATGGAGGCCCCTACATGAGGGTTTTTGCTGGAGTCCTCATCATGATGGTATTTTAAAAGCGCCGGAAGCCCCGTTCCAGCAATTAAGGCCCCTACATAGCTGTGCCTTCGCATGCCTCTTGTTTCCGTCATGGTTGAGTCGCTGCAAACCAGATGCAAAAAAAAGGCCCCTACATTATGCGGAGCCTTGGAACCCTGAGCTCCTCAAGCCTTCGACCGTCAGCTTGCTGAGCCCTAAATCCCGAGCCGAAGCCCTAATATGATGATATTCTAGCATGCGATCATATTATTAAAATGTAGTATAATATATTATAGTATATTTTGATATATTATAACACGTTATATTATAATATGTTATAGTCTGTTCTATATTGTAACATACTGTATCATGGTATGCTATAGTAGACTATACTCTTGTATGTGATATTCTAATCTAGCACAGAATAGCAGGGCATAGTCTAGTTTCGTTTCGTACATTGGTGTTTGAAGTTTCGTATAGTCTGGTATGGTATGGTATAGGATAGTGGAGCACTATCCTATACTACACTAAGCCCTGTAAAGCTACTTTACAGATCGATTCCTGCTACGTTATAGTTTCTTACATTATCTTCTAATGTACCTAAGCTCAGATGAAGGCACACCTGCTCGCACTTTGCAAGGCACTTAAGCTTCTTCATCTGCGCTTTCGGGTATGGACTCTCTTCATATTCCTAGAGCTTACCGCGGTAGAACGCCTTTCAGAAACTGGCTGTGGGTCTCCTGCAAAAGAGGTCCCGCTGAGCAGAATTCGTGTGAATGCTTGGAGGGTCATGGGTAGTTATAAATGGGGTTATAAGTAGGGTAACTTTAGTTATAGTCCAAATAGGGGACTTATAACCATACTTATAACTGCCCATGAACCTCCAAGTGCTTCCGGGTTCAACGAAGACAGCTCCCTGCAGGGGAACAGGGCCGCGTATCTCCCACTGCCCTCAGCCATGACACCCGGAAGCAAGGTTCCCTTCCGTTATAATTTGCCCTTAAGACTTAAAGTAAAGTGTATAACATCCGCTTGAGCTTCGAACTTTAGAGACATGCTTACTACGAGTTCAAGTGGCTCTTTGGGATACGCACCCCTGCTTGAGGTGCCGGTTTAGTAAGGTTGTAACCAAACTTATAAGTTCCCTCGTTCGGACCATCCTGGTTACAACCGGATCTTTAACCTGCTTAATAAGTCCGTTGATGACGCATAGCTAAACTATTCCGTTATCATCCCTGGCCCTATCTAATTATGGGACACTGTACCCCAAAACCCCCGAACCAGCTATGCATGTAGGGTTCAATCGTGGCCTTTGCCCGCCAGGCACAGAAGGAGGTTTTGGTGCCAATTCTCTGGCCGGGCCCTTGAGGGCTCCAGGTTTAGGGGTTTAGGGTTTAGGGTTTAGGGTTTAGGGTTTAGGGTTTAGGGTTTAGGGTTTAGGGTTTAGGGTTTAGGGTTTAGGTTGAGGGTCACTGTATCTGCTTCTCACCTCGACAGGCGGGCTGCTCCTTCCATTGCTCTTGCTACTCATATCTTGCTACTGCTGCCGCTGCTACTGCTACCGTTAACTATCACTTACTACTACTCTTGCCTGCAATTTGCTACGACTACTACTAAACAGAAACAACACCCACAAGCCCACCAACCTACTTACCCACTACTTCCCTTCCGACTTATCGACCTATTCCTGGCTAAACTGCATGAGTGCTTTTTCGATGAAGCTGGAACGACTTCATGCAGCGTCTGCTGATGTAATCTGGCGGGACCAGGAAGGTTAACTAAACCTGTGTAAAAGCGCGTCTGCACAAAGCACATTCGCACTGTCCGCTCTGAGGGCAGCATGGAAAGATCTGGTTGCAGAGCGCCGGCGGGTGGGGCGCCAATCGCAGACCAGGGAGTCGATCTTGACTTTTCCACATTCATTCTAGAGCCCAAATCAATCCAAGATCGGCAAGAGCCTGCTGCAGGATGTCATGTGTTCTATAGGTTCTGAATTGGGCCAGTGGTCTGAGTTAGCGCTTGGGGCTGGGCGGTACGAAAAGTGACTACCCGTACTAGGCAAGGTTGCCTCCGCAATTTAGAATGTCGTTTGATCGACACCTGGAAAGGTGTAATGGCCAGGAGTCACGCAACGTCTGCCGCGAGAAACTACAGCAATGTGAATGACAGGGTCTGAAGTCATACAACTTGTCCGAACATGTCCGAACCCTTTATAGAAGTAAACACTGGGACGCCAGGGGAATGCCCAAACATGAGAGCGTCGGAGCTTGTTATTTTGGGCCATCATGTTAAGAAGCCCCCACTGGGAAAAACATCAACATCTCTCACACTGGGGCCTTAATTCTGTCAACACCCCCAACTTTGGAACACCAGAAGTGTCCGAAGGGGACAGTGCAGTCGTTTGTAATGAGGAGCTTATGGTTTCGGGCCCCTATACTCTAAACCCCAAACCCTGACCCCCAATGGACACATGCCTCGCCTAGAGAGTCCGAGCACGTGCGCCAAAACCCTAAACCGTTTCCCACACATCCCCACAGGCTCCCTTATACCCCAAAACCCTAATTTCAGACATCTCCACAAAAACGAGACCATTTACTATCTACCTTAAGAACCCAAAACCTACTTTTTTGTAGGGTCCCTATAAATCCCATATTAGGGTTGGTAATAAGAACCTACAAAAAAGTGGGTTTGGGGTTCTTAAGGTAGGTCCCTTACCCCAAAAACCCCAATTTCAGACATCCCTACGAGGACGAGACCATGGATATCTCGCAGCGTGCGGTCGAGGACGATGCTCGCAAGGCGCAGCAGGAGGCGCCTCGGGGAGCTGGCAATCCGACCCCAGAGAGCCCCCCTAAAAGCCCCTTAACAAGGACTGGCTGTAGGCTTCTATGAGAATCCTTGTGGTTCAAAAGACGGTGTCCTCTATAATGTATGGTATATTCATTTCATGATTTTTAGACTTTCGGGGCTCTCTGGGGCAAACAGCGATCTGCGCGCGCTGTGCATCCTTGAGTGCAGCTGCGCAAGAGTCGTGTGCTTTGGCCTTGAGGACAAGACGCTTGCACAAGAGGCTCGGGAGCTCAGGGGTTCAGGTCCTGGGAGTTTCCGAAAATTTGGGGGTACCATAATAGGGATCCTACTAGTTAGGGTACTATATTAGGGTCCCCTATTTTCGGAAACCCCCAGGTGGTTCACAGTCATGATGAGCGACAGCAGAAACTCAGACCCAAGAAGGTTGGCGATCTTTTAACTGGAGTTCCTTGAAGCTGCAGGCAGCCAAGCTTCGAGAGACTTATCGAAACTCGCAGCAGCAGCGGCAGGCTGGATGCCCTGGCATGCTCGCAGGATCGAATGCTTCTGTTTGCAAGCGGCTCCAACTATCGCAAGGGTCACGCTAAAAGCCAGCGCCAAAGCCCTCCTGCAGTGCTGGCAGTGACTCGCCTGAGGCTGTGTTTTTGTGGTCCATTGAGCGTCGAGATCAGTCCATGCTGCTGAGAGCTGGCAGCTCAGCTCGGGGGTGCCTAGGGTTTCGGCGCACCGAAGGCATCAGGAACTGTTCACATCTTCTGCCCACCCATATCGGGTTCTCTCCGAAAGAAGAGTAAAGACTTGCTCAGGGATCATAGAACAGGTTGAGGCTTTTGTGTCACTGAAGAACAAACGAAGCCCCGCTGCATCAAGAGACAGGTTGGGCTCCCCGGAAAAAAACAGAGTACTTGGAGGTTCATGGGTAGTTATAAGTAGGGTAACTGTAGTTATAATCCAAATAGGGGACTCCCTAAACCCTAAACCCTAAACCCTAAACCCTAAACCCTAAACCCTAAACCCTAAACCCTAAACCTTAAACCCTACTTATAACTGCCCATGAACCTCCAAGTAGGCCCTTTTGGTCAACATCAGGTGGCCTGGAGTGCATGGCGCCACTTGCACTGCAAAAGACTGCAAAAAGGGCGAGTGGGAATAGAAGCGGTTTAGGGTGAGTTTAGGGTTTAGGGTTTAGGGTTTAGGGTCTACCTACTTCGAATTTCGTGAGGCAATGATGGGTTCGTTGGATAGACCAGAAATCGGATAATAACGTTTAGATTATAGCTCCGTTGTAATGATGGTAAGGTCACGAGAGTCTCGGTGATTCGGGGTCTTGGGGGATTTGTATCGCAGGGTCTAGGGGTTTGGGGTTTCCGTGTAGGCAGGGTTTAGGACTTTGATGGAAAATGATGTCGGTGATCGTGGTGATGTTGGTTGTCAGGATCTTCATCTTAACTACGTCTTACATACCGTCATTGCCAGTGTGGCTCTGGTTCCGCTCAATTGTGGGTTTCCTTTGGGAGCTGAAGCCCACATCCAGGCGAGTGCCTGGACGATCGGAGGAAAACAGACACTGGGCTGCACTTCGACTCTCAATCGCTGAGTAGGTGGCCTAAAGCCTTTTCGGCCTTTCTACAACAGTACACGATGTAACGGGGTTAGAGGCTTTGAGCCAAGGAATCTAGCAACAGCCAAAACATGCGGCGTGCACTGATTGCATCCAGACATGCGTTGTGTGCGAGTCGTGAGAAGCGAGCGAAAGCTAGACTGCAACAGCTCTTGATGTGGTTTCGCTCGTTTTTCGGTTAACAGTGTAGGGGCGGGGGAGGGTGCGGAACCTGATAGGGCTGTATGCGGATTTGATATGGGGACGTTTTGACTGCAGCGGCTCCTTTCTCGAAGGACTAATTCTCTGAACTTAGATGCTTGTATACGTACGGAATCATGAGTTCTACTGTCGTGCTTTGTCAAACCGTTATGTGTGGCTTCGCGCTCGTGGCAAATGATCTTCAGACATGACATAGTCTATGTGCCTCATACTCCTCGATTGAATTCGCAGTTCCTTTTTTCTAGTTCCGAACACCTGGCTGGCCAAGCACGTCCAATGGGCGGCACCTGCCCCAGACGAAAGCTAAAGCAGCTCCTCCTTGTTCTCAGGAGGTGGAACACGTGCAGACCTTGAAGCAGAGGCAAGCCCGAATTCTGGGCTCGGTTGACGATCCGTGTAGAATAGGTCAGCCGCGCAATTGCTAATGCTAGTTGGTTGTTATCACTGCAAATCTGAGCTTTGTTTGCTATTCCAGGCTGCATGGCACGGACTTCGCGGCGAAGATCGCTGCAGTCGCGTCCGAGCAGACACCAACAGGGGCTACAGCTGGACCAACGGGTCCAGGCGCTTCTCCCTGCTGGCTGGCTGCTTTCCATGCGTTGGGTACAGGCAAGTCGCACAGCTCCGAATGAAACTCGGAGGTGTCTTTCCGCTTCTGTTCGGGCATGGAAGCCTCTACAAGTCAAGTCATGTTTTCTGCGCGCGAAGTCACATCTGTTACAGCCCCTGTTGTCGTGGCTCCCTAGACCCGGATTCTCATCGCGATCAGAACTACTGCTTGTGTCTTTGCTGGACCTTGTCCCCAAGCCATCGAAGCCCATCGTTAAACCCTGAAAGACACAAACAGACGAACGAAGCCCTAAACCCTAAACCCTAAACCACGAACGAAGCTGCCCCAGAAGGAGGTGATGTGGCCGTGCCAGTCAAACCTGGCTTGTGCGGCCGCCAGGAGCCCAGAGCTTCAGCCTTTCTCACCACGGTTCAGGGTTTGGGGTTTGGGGGGTGATTTTACCGCACTTTTAGGTGTTAAGTTACATTAGAGTATAGTCTAGCACACTTCTTGTAGTTGGAGCCCCAGTTCCCTGCCATGCTGTTTCTCTCCTAGTGACAAAGCATTGGGTGCCAGCTAACAACTGGAGCCGCCAGGCTGAATACAGAAGCTTCAATGCTATTTTTGCGAGTTGACCTTGTAAGCTCCCAGACCCTAAACCCTAAACCCTGAACCCTAAACCCTAAACCCTAAACTCATTCAAAGTCTTAAGGCCCGATGTATCTGCTGTTGCAGGCACTGGAATCCCACCGGGGCAGCGCTAAACGTTGACTCGAGGTTTCTTCCGTTTCTTTGTCGCGCCCAAGCAGCCGCCAAAGCAAAGCGGCAGTGAACTCAGCACCGTAGGCTTCTAGGGTTTAGGGTTTAGGGTTTAGGGTTTAGGGACTTTCGGACTTTCGGGCAATGGAGTCTGTGTCAGACGCTGCACCAAGAAACTGTACAAACGAAGTGGCAAAAACATGCGCTAATTAAAATCGGCAAACAGCAAAAGGCTGTTACGGCTCTTCACAATCCGCAGCCCTCCCGAGATCAGCGGCCTCTAACCATCTTGTCATGGCGGGTGAAGCCCACCTGTCCTGCCAGTGGCGTGGTGAGAAGCCCTCCGACACTGCCATGGCGGCAAAATCATCGATCTCGAGGTGCAACGGAAGGGGCGGGCCCGCGACCCTGGTGGCAGGGAGCATCGACAGCTCCGGATCGACGACTGGCATCGCCGGTCCTGCCTCCATATCATGCAGGATAAGGCGTTGCAAACAGGCTGGGGAATCATGCTGCAAATGCCGAAGTATCCTAAGCACAGACCAGAACTGCCTAAGGCATGTCTTGCATGTCGTGCTTCCAACATAAGCCTTGGCCTGGCAAGTAACTCCATGTTTGGCAAACTTGTGAGCAGCCAAGGCCTGGTATGTGGGGAAGCTGGCGCTGCATTTATCGCAACTGTGCAGGTGGTCAGCCCTAGCACCTTCTCCCTCCCCAGGGCAGGCGGATTGCCATTCAGGCTCATGGCCAACGTGCTTGACCAGCTTGAGGGCACGGCGTACGGCAGTCCGCAGCGCCGTTTTATCGTGCACGCACCACTCGGCTAGACCCTCCGGGAAATCATGGAAGGCCTGGGCTGGGACAGGGACTATGGTTTGGAGCCATGTCACGTCCTTTTCCAAGATGTCCAGCCAGGACGAACCGGACACATCTTTTTCGGCCATCAGGAGGTCCATGAGCGTGGGCTGTGTCAGGCAAACCCTCTGAAAGTGCAGGAGCCTTTGCGCGCGAAGAAAGGCCATGGGGGAGGCCATACGTGAGGCCAGACAGACCTCTTTTTCCCCCGGAAGGGTGGGGGCTCCGGTCCACCGGTCATCTCGATGCAGAGTGCGGGCTAAAGCAACATAGCCTCGCCTCCATGCCATAGCCTCAGCCTTGGTCAAGGCTCCCCAGGTCGCAGCCGTCGATGTCAGAGAGGAGAGAGCCAGCGACTGCAGTACCAATTTGCGGGTGCTGAGGGGAAGCGCGGGGTCCCGCAGGACCGGTCGTCGCAGTGGCTTGATCTGTCTTTTTGCGCCAACCGCATGCTGGCAAATGTCAAACATGTGACAAGGACGATCGCATACATGCCCCCCCAAGTGCAAGTAGCGACGTGTGCAAAAGACATGCTGGCGCCCATCCCTGGTCTCAAAAGGAACAAGACCGCCCTGCTTGATATGCACCTCTTGACGGACACTAGGGGCACCGTGACCTCGTGGGGCGAGGAGGAGTTCCGACTTGCCCTTGGAATAGTTGGGTAGCATGCTCCGTTTGTGAAACTCCTCATGTACACAGGTGAGCGCGGCCTGTGCTTTAGTGACTATGCCCTCCGCTGTCTCGTGTGCCAGGAGGATGGCAGTGTCATCTGCCCAGATGGGAGAGAGGAGACGGGGACCCTGGAAAGCCGTCTTGGT